GGAAGGGAGGGGGCGCTGGGAGGGGGAGAAATTGGGGAGAGGGCACCAAAATAAAGGGATACCAGGAGAGGGAGGGACACCGGGAATGGGGTGAGAGCAGGAGCAGGGAAAACCAGGAGCGGGGGGGACCCTGGGAGCTGGGGACACTGGGAGCAGGGAACACTGGGAGCTGGGGACACTGGGAGCAGGGAACACCAGGAGCGGGGGGGACCCTGGGAGCTGGGGACCCTGGGAGCAGGGAACACCGGGAACAGCGGGGACCCTGGGAGCAGGGAACACTGGGAGCGGGGGGGACCTTGGGAGCTGGGGACCCTGGGAGCAGGGAACACCGGGAACAGTGGGGACCCTGGGAGCAGGGAACCCCGGGAGCAGGGGGGATCCCTGGGAGCAGGGAACCCCGGGAGCAGGGGGGATCCCTGGGAGCAGGGAACCCCGGGAGCAGGGGGTCCCTGGGAGCTGAGGACATCGGGAGCTGGGGATCCCGGGAGCAGGGAACACCGGGAGCAGGGGGTCCCCGGGAGCTGAGGACACCGGGAGCCGGGTGACGCCGCCCTTCCTCCCAGGTACGGCTTCGTCATCGCCGTCACCACCATCGACAACATCGGCGCCGGCGTCATCCAGCCGGGCCGCGGCTTCGTCCTCTATCCCGTCAAGTACAAGGCCATCGTGTTCCGGCCCTTCAAGGGCGAGGTGGTGGACGCCGTGGTGACGCAAGTGAACAAGGTGACGCCGGGAATCCCGCCGGGAATCCCGCCGGGAAAACCCGCCGGGATCGGGGGCCGCGCGGCGCCCGCTCCCCGTGCCTCACGGGGCTGCTTCCGCACTCCAGGTCGGGCTCTTCACGGAGATCGGGCCCATGTCCTGCTTCATCTCCCGGCACGTGAGTTTGGGGATTCTCTCCAGATCCTCTTGGAGCAGAGGGAATGCTGCGGAAATGCTGGATTTGCTCCTGGGTGACTCTTTGTCTCTTCACAGTCCATCCCTTCCGAGATGGAATTTGATCCCAATTCCAACCCTCCCTGCTACAAGACGGTGGATGAGGTGAGTGCTCGGCTATGGCGGGAATGGTCCGGAAGGGAAAATTTGGGATGTGGAGGCACCTCTTCGTCCCATCAGCCCCTTCCCAACAACCTCCTTTGGGCTCCGGGCTGGCAACATCCGTCATCTGCCCCCGTTTCCCTAACGGCTCCGCCCTTCCCGAGGGAGCTGGGATGGCGGTCGGAAGCCTCTCTGGCTCCATGTGGATCCTCATCCCRGCCTCCCTCCTCCTCAGGACATCGTGATCCAGCAGGACGACGAGATCCGCCTGAAGATTGTGGGTACACGGGTGGATAAGAACGACATCGTAAGTGACGCCCCCCGGCATCGGGAATGCCGGAGGCTCCAGCTTTTCCCTCCGGGGCTTGGAGCCCCTTCCGGAGCCTCCCATCCTCGCTGCAATTCCCGCAAATCCCTTTTCCTCCTAGTTTGCCATCGGCTCCCTCATGGACGACTACCTAGGTGAGTCCTGCCCCGCGCTTCCCGACGGATCCCGGCCGCTTCCACCGGCATTCCCAGCCTGGCAAATGGGTTGCGGGATGGAGGGACGGAGCCGGGACCGCTCCGGGCTCCTTCTCCGTGTGTCTTTTCCAGGTCTCGTGAGCTGAAGTGTGTCCGTTCTCAGCCCGGCAGCAGACGAATGCCCAGATGACGGCATTCCCACAGGGATCACCGGATGGTACCCGCCATTTGGCCCACTTTCCCCTTTGCTGTTCATCCGTTTTCCCAATAAAAAAGAGTGTCTATTTTTTAATGTGTTTTTTTTTCTGTACTACCATTATTTTTAACCTTTTTTGGCTCAATTTGTTATGTTTGGCACTTTTTTTGCAGGAGGAACGTGTGCTAGGGCCCCATTGGAGCCCGTGCTGGGGGAAAGCGGAAGTGCTGGGATCACGGGGAGGGGGGAGGGCAGCGACCCGGTGTACCGGGACGTAACGGCACCGGCGAGCGGGGGCGGGGCCCCCCACGAGCATCGCCGCTTTAAGCCGCCTTGCCCCTTTTAATGCGGCGACAGCAGCGCGCATGCGCAGAGGCGCGCCCCCTCCTTGACCATACTTTCCGCCCTCTCGCTTTACGGCAGTTCGTGCTTCACGCGCCGCCCCGGCCGCCAGCCTTGCCAGCACTGCGGGACTTTACGGCGTCGCGCGACGTCGCGCTCGACCGCCCTCTCTCTCCGTGGGCGCTCCTCCAAGATGGCGGTGACCGGGGTGAGCGCGGCGGCTCCGCGCCGCATCCGCCGCCATC